GAGGAGGAGGAGGAGGAGGAGGAGGAGGAGGTGGAGGAGGAGGAGGCAGAGACAACTGTGGGGTTCTTGGTGGTCTCTAACCTTGGCGGTTTTCTTGAAGATATTTCATTACCCAATTAGGTAACGTCATCCATGCTAGAAGGGTGTGTGATGTATGGAATAGAAAGGGAAGTGGTGGAGGTGGAGGAGTAGGAGGTGGTGGAGGAGAGACCCTGCAGTACCCCCATCGCTACCACCTTCCCCCTTCTAATACTGATGGCGTCCCCTAGCTGGGCCATGAAACGTCTGACTGAAAACCACCACGTTCGGATAGCACCAAGGACCCCACAGTCCTCCTCCTCCTCCTCCTCTCCACACTCTCTTCTAGCACTGATAACGTCCCCTAGTTGGGAACCCTCTAAAAAAACCACCAAATTCAGAGAACGTGGTTTCAACCCTGAGCTACCAAGATCCTCTTCTCTCCAACTTTTATGGTCACACGAGTTGGAGAGCCGGACCTCCGGAGGCAACTACGGAGCCGAAATCCAGACCTCTTCCTCTTGCACGATGGGACTCCAACCCACCACCCCTTGCAACCCTCGTTCATTAGGCTGAATTAGGATGGCGGGCCATCTGGGTAGCTTGCCCCCTCCCCCTTCCAAGTTTCGGGCTGACCTCTTGGGAGAAGACCAAAGGGCAGGGGGGAAGCTTGGAAGACCCCTCCCCGACTCTCTGACCAAGTTCCTTCACCTCTTTATGGCTTCCCAGATCTTCAAGCCGTCATCCCTGTAGTAGTATTGGAGTAGGCCGCCTACTCCCCGGGCTTCGATGTCGTCCGGGAGGCAGAGCTGGGTGTAAGTCAGATCATCCGTGGCTCGTTGGAGAAGCACCGCTAATCCCTGGCGCCCGGTGGCAATGGCCTGTGCAAAGAATACAGAGTAGGAAGAGTTGGAAGGGACCTCAGAGGTCCTCTAGTCCACCCTTTCAAACTGTCCAATCCCTTCTTTAAAAACATCCAGTGTTGGAGCACCCACAATTTCTGGGGGCAAGCAGGTGAATTATTCTCACTATCAGGAAATTAATTCTTAATTCCAGGTTGCTTCTCTCCTTGATGAGTTTCCACCCGTTGCTTCTTGTCCTGCCTTCAGGAGCTTTGCAGAATAGGTGGGTCCCCTTCCTCTTTATGGCAGCCCCTCAAATATTGGAAGACTGCTGTCATGTCTCCCCTAGTCCTCCTCTTTGTTAGACTAACAGAATATGGTAGTAGAGTTGGAAGGGATCTTAGAGGTCTTCTAGTCCAACCCCTGATCATCCATAGTCCTTTTTTGTATTAAACTAGATCAAGGGTCTTCCAACTCGGCAAGTTTAAGACTTGTGGACTTCAACTCCCATAATTCCTGAGCTAACCATGACTGGAGGAGGAATTCTGGGAGTTGAAGTCCACCAGTCTTCAAGCTGCCAAGCTGGAAGACCCCTGAAGTAGACATTCCCAACTCCTGCAACCATTCGTGGTATATGCTCCAGCCTCCAGGCCCCTAATCACCTTCGTTGCTCTTCTCTGCGCTCTTTCTAGAGCCTCAACGTCCTTTTCGCATCTTGGAGACCAAAACTGGGTTCTGCATTCCAAGTTGGCCTTACCAAGGCATTATAAAAGAGTATGAACCCTTCGCACGATGTCGATCCCCATTGCAGTTTGCTTACTCTCTTCTAATCCCTTCCTCTGCGATCTCTCCACTCTAGAGGCCAGGCGAAAAGCAAAGCAGGCCTGGCTGGCTGAGGGATTCTGGGGTCACACCAAGGCCTTATCAAATAGCATTAACCCTTTACGTGACCTTGGTGCTGGCCCTCTGTTAACGCAGCCTGGGGTTGGCCTTGGCTTTTTTGGCAGCTGCGGCACACATCTGGCTCATGGTTCAGGATTATTCCCATTTGGATATTTCATATCGAAGAAGAAAGCCAGGAAGGGTCCCAGGGAGGTCAAGAAAGGCAAGACTTACATATGGTTGGACTAGAAGACCTCCAAGGCCCCTTCCAACTCTGTTGTTCTATTCCTATTCTGTTCTATTTCTATATTTCTATTTCTATTCCCATTTCTATTCCTATTTTCAATTCGATTTGATTCCTATTTTTTATTCTATTTTATTTTATTCTTCTATTCTGTTTTGTTCTATTCTATTCCTATTTTTATTCCTATTTTCTTCTATTCTTCTTCTATTCTGTTTTATTTTCTATTCTGTTCTGTTCTGTTCTATTCTTCCTATTCCTAATTCTATTCTATTCTATTCTATTCTATTCTATTCTATTCTATTCTATTCTATTCTATTCTATTCTAATCTAATATTCTACTCTACTCTACTCTACTCTACTCTACTCTACTCTACTCTACTCTACTCTACTCTGTTCCTAAAGATGAGGCCCATGGCTATATAATCCAAATTCTGCTGTATTTTTACACCATTAAGGAAGCAGAAAAGGAGTCGGAGATATTTGGTTGTGGCCGCCATCTTGACTTTTTTGACCTACTGCCTGTTGACAAGAGGCTGTCAAAAGACAGAGGTGATGTTCCCACTAACAGGCTGTCCATTTGCCCCCCATTTGCCTCTGTTGTAGCGCCTCCATACATACTAAAAGTAGTTCGACTTACAGTTATTTAGTTAATGCCCAAGAGCACTGAAAAATATTGACTTAGGACTGGTCCTCATAATTGCGACCGTCACAAGAGCCCCAATGGCCCCATGATCAAAATTTGCCTGCTTGGCAAACAGCATGTATTTACGATGGTAGCCACATCCCAGGTAGCAGTGAGATCCTACCTGTTCCACTATCGGTTCGGTGATCGGGGTGGGATTCAAATTTCTTAACAACCTGTTTTGTGAGCGTGGCCTAATTTGTGGGCATTGCTTGGTGGTCACATGACTGGGTGGGCATGGCTTGTATGTAAAATATTTTAAATATTTATGTAGATGTTGATTTTTTATTAAAAAAGAGCAACTTTTATCCAAACTCAGGCAAAGCAGACAGGCAGATTGAGTTGCTCCCAGAATCACAGATTCACTCAGAGATTTACCATTCTGCAGTCTGCTGCCTGAGTCTCTCACATAAAATTTGCTTGCAGATAAACTCATAAAATTTGCTAGCAAGCAAACCAAAAAAATTAACTCACAACACGCCATGTATGTAAATATTGGATTTTTTTATTTAAAAAGAGAGCAACTTTTACCCAAAATCAGGCAAAGCAGGCAGGCAGATTGAGTTGCTCACAGAATCACAGATTCACTCAAAGGTCTACCTTTCTGCAATCTGCTACCTGAGTCTGCACTGAAAAATAGAAGCTTCAGTCCTAAGGAAGGTTCAGTTCTGCTTTTAGATTAGCTAGAAAGCAAGAAATCCAATGATTTCCTGCTTTCTAGCTAATCTAAATCTCCCGGCACAGCAGAACCGTTGATGGGCGGGGGGCGGGGGGGAGGAAAAATAGCAACTTAACAGGCAAGTTTGATGGCGCACCTGCCAGGTAAGGAGTGAGTGGGCAGGGAGAGGAGGGGAGGGGGCAGCCAGTGGTGCAATTTGCTGCTTCTCCGAACTGCACAGAGTCATAACAACTAGTTCTATAGAACTGGTCCAACCAGGTAGAATCCCTCCCCTGCACACGCACCTAAAGCTGAAGCAGCAAAGGTGACTTGGGAGTAAGGCTGGAAGCTGATGAACCCTCCCATAAGGGATAAAAACCAGCCCTTGGGGATGTGTTCTTTGCAGGAAGCAAAGAAGTTCTTTATGCTCAGAGTTCTCGTTGAAGCCCTGCTTACTCCAGTTTGTTTTTGAAACTTCTGCCAGTGCATAGTTAATTAGTAATTAGTCTACTATTCTTTGCAACCTTGAAAGGGCTTGCTTTTGATATCAGACAATTAGGTTTAAATGTCTCTTGGCTCGGAATGCACTGAATTCCCAGCGCGGCATTAAAAAAAGGTTTACTTTTATACAGTTTGTTTAATTTGAACCAGGCTTGGGTCAGAACAACAGCTGACAGGGAGCGTGAGTGGGGCTCCATTGGCTGTGAAGGAAACTGGGGAAGGGCAAAGTCTGGCTGGGCAGAGCAGGGGAGAGGTAGAGCAAGGGAGAGAGAGTTCAGAGGAAGACCCAGGCCCACCCCTTCTTCATCCTAGTGCAGGGAGGGAGGAATGGAGAAGGGAGCAACGTGGGTTGCATGGCTTATGGGGGAGGAAAGGGCCCTGATTCCCTTCCATTAGCCACACCTGGGAATGAGAGTTTAAAAGAAAGGCAGGCTGTGTGAGGCAGTGCTGGGAGAAAACATGAGTTTATCTTGTGTTGTCGTTGGCTTATCTGTGTCCCTGGCATCTTCCCAACTGTGTGAATTTTGCTGTGCCTTCAAGTCTGGAATTCTTGCTCCTGCCCTGCCAAACTACTTACTTCAGTTTGGCTTGATTGGACTTAGTTTTTGTTGACCACGTTTCGGACTTGAACCTCTGCAGCCGAAAGGAGAGTTTTTCTCCAGCCCAGAAGGTAACCAGGACATTTGGGGGCCAAGTTGGAGCTAATAAAGGGTCTACTGATTATCTACGTTACCTTTGTGCCACGCCCTTTGGGTCATCACACCCAATGCTTCCTAGCAAACCAAGTCAAGGGATTGGGGGAGAGCAGCACGGTTCACTTAACGACTGCCGCGATTCGCTTAACAGGCACGGCACGAAATTGGATGCAACTGACCTGAGGAGCTGTCTTTGCATTGCAGTACAAATGCTGGGCTCCATTGTGGTTGTAATTCAAGGACTACCTGAATTGGGTCACCCAGGATCAACGGGCTATTTTTTCTCCCCCCGTCAAAGCGCATCATGCTTGGCCCATGGAGGTCCTCTTACCTTGTCAAAAGTGCCTCCTGGACTGATCAGGAAAGTCCTGGCCAACACGTTGATGTGGATGGAGTAACGCAAGTGAGGAATCAAAAGCTGTGGCAGGAAAATAAGCGTGAAACCATGGTTACTCAAGCTAAACCACCATTGGAGGAAACTTCTCTTCCGCCCCGGCTGCAAATAGTCCAGCCCAACGCTGTGAGCACCACGGACTCAAAGCAAGAAATCCAGCGGAGGAATCCAGGAAGCCAAAGGAGCAGAAAACCAGCCCAGGAAGAATGCCAGGAATCCAGGATAATTCAAAAGTCGGCACTCGACGCTCTAGGAATTCAGGGTTTGTTCCCAACAAACGCCCCTCCCCACAGCGTCTCCTTAAGGCTCAGTCTCCTGGTGTGTCTTGTGAAAAGGGGCGGGGCGCTGTCCTCCCAAATAGTTGGGCTAACCTGTGCTGCTCCTGCCTTCTATCCACCCTTGATGCTTCGCCTTGTGAAGAGTAGTTGGGTTACCCTGCACTGTTCCCGCCTTCTCTCGACTCTCCATGCTCTTGGATCAGGAGGGGGTAGTCCCTGCTCATCACCTGAGCTCTGCTCTCATGCTTAGCCTCTTTTGGTCATCCTGCTCCCCTTCCCCCCTGCCTACAAGCCATCCCAATCCCGAAAGGCCCTGGCCTGACTGGGCGTGCTCCTCCCCGTTTTCCTCCCAAGCCAACAAATCCGCCCCCTCGATCTCTGTTGGCTCCAGTTCCGGGTCATCTTCCCCTGCAGATTCAGGCTCTGACAGGGGTGCGGGGAGCATGACACTCACCTTGTACAATGGGTGACACATGGGGAGGTTCCTCAGAGTGGCCACTGAAAAGACCTCGGACATCAGGTGGCTGCGGAGCAGGTGGGCGATCACCTCATGGGTGTGGAACTCGGAGTTTCGCACCCAGGTCTTGGCTAAGGTCCAGAGCCACTCCTCATCCGTGGGCAGAAAGATAGGACTTTGAGGACCGGGTTGCTGGCTGAGCTAAAGTCAAACATGGAGGAAGAAGATCTCGTTGAGACTCTTGATGGTCAAGGGTGGACATCACCTCCACCCAGGAGTGGGATTCAAAACTCGCAACTGGTCCGCAGCCTGATTGCTGGGTGGGCATGTCCATGATGGGTGTGTCCTACCGGAACTTCCGTTTTTCGCCTTTTCCAGAGTCCCTCAGGCTTCTGGGAGGGCGAAAACGGCATTCTCCAGACTCCGGAAGGCGGAAACAGGCCTGTTTTCAGACTTTTGGAATGCCTGTTTTTCTCCCTGCCAGAGCCTCCGCTCTGAAGGTGGGGCCTGCACTTACCTGCATCCAAAACGGGTTACGTGAAGGCTCCTGGGAGGGGCGGGGCAGGATGGGCAGGGCCAGCTAGTTGGTCCAATTACCGGTTCAGCGAACCAGATGTAAATTTAACCACCGGTTCGCTCGAACCGGTTCAAACCGGCTGAATCCCACCCCGGCCTCCTTGAAGGAGACCTCTTCTCCTGAACGGAGAAATGATCCGACTTAGCCTTCTGTCCCTCCTTCCGAGGTCGGTAAAACGAGGACCTGGATTGTTGGGGGCAAATGACGCTGACTCTGTAAACTGCTTAGAGAGGGCTGTGAAGCACTATAAAGCAGTATATAAGTCTAAGGGCTATTGCTTATGAAGGAAGGGAGGAAAGAAGGAAGGAAAGAATGAAGATGAGAAGGAAGGAAGGAAGATGAGAAGGAAGGAAGATGAGAAGGAAGGAAGTTGAGAAGGAAGGAAGATGAGAAGGAAGGAAGGAGGAAAGGAGGAAGGGAGGGAGGAAGGAAGGAAGGAAGGGAGGAAGGGAGGAAGGAAGATGAGAAGGAAGATGAGAAGGAAGAAAGGAAGGAAGGAAGGGAGGGAGGGAGGAAGGAAGGAAGGGAGGAAGGAAGGAGGAAAGGAGGGAGGGAGGGAGGGAGGAAGGAAGGAAGGGAGGAAGGGAGGGAGGGAGAAAGGAAGAGAGGAAGGAAGGAAGGAAGGAAGAAGGAGGAAAGGAGGGAGGGAAGCAAGCAAGCAAGCAAGCCATAGTGGGACAGTGATTAGAGTGCAGTATTGCATGTTAATTCTGCCGACTGTTAGCAGTTCAATCCTGGCTCTAGGCTGACTCAGCCTTCTATCCTTCCTTCTAAAGTAGGTAAAATGAGGAGCCAGATTGTTGGGAGCAAGAGACTGACTCTGTAAAACCGCTTAGAGAGGGCTGTGAAGGGCTGCGGAGTGGTATATAAGTTTAAGGGCAATTGCTATCACATCTATCTATCTATCTATCTATCTATCTATCTATCTATCTATATCTATCTATCTATCTATCTATCATGTATCTATCTATCTACCTATCTATCTATCATCCATCTATCTAGCTATCATCTATCTATCTACCTATTTCTATCTATCTATATATATCTATCTATCTATCTATCTATCCATCTATCTATCTATCATGTATCTATCATCTATCATCTATCTATCTATTTCTATCTATCTATCTATCTATCTATCTATCTATCTATCTATCTATCTATCTATCTATCTATCTGTCTATCATCTATCTATCTATCATCTATCATCTATCTGTCTATCATCTATCTATCTATCTATCTATCATCTCTCTCTCTCTCTCTCTCTATTTATATCTATCTATCTATCTATCTATCTATCTATCTATCTATCTATCTATCTATTTATCTATCTATCTATTATCTATCGACCTGTCTATCATCTATCTATCTATCTATCTATCTATCATGTACCATCTCTCTGTCTCTCTGTCTCTGTCTCTCTTTCTTTCTCTTAAGAGCTCTGGTGGTGCAGTGGTTAGAAGGGAACATAGATAGGGCTGCAAAAGCCCTGTAAAATGACATATGTCTAAAGGTTAGTGCTACTGCTATTGGTAGGAGAAGCTTTGGGACGTCCTTCCAAGGATTTCTTGACCTGATTGGTTCTTGGTTGACTTACCTGGATAGCCAGGGGGAGAACTTCTCCGCTGGGTTTCTGGTGGAGCAGGCAAAGAGGAGCCGCGATATATTGCTGGTGGTTGTTTAAAAATACTGTGGGGATATTCTCCAGGATTTTGTAGTCCACCAGGTAGATGGTTCCTTTCTGCAAAAAAGAAATTAAATTAAATTAAATTAAATTCAAAATTAAACACGATTGGCCATTGGAGCAGGCCGTTCGCGAAGTCCCTGAGCGGACAATCCACCTGGAACGCTAACTAAGGGATGGTGGGGCCCTCTCTTGATGGGATTTTTTTTAAAAAAGAGGCAGAAAAAATGTTTTGTTTGCTTGTGAGTGACGTATTTCTGGGGGGGAAACATGCATTTGTGAAAGTCCACAACTAGAATTAGAATAATAGAACTGGAATTGTTATGGAATGGAATAGAATAGAAATAGAGTAGAATGCCGAATAGAACAGAAATAGAAATAGAATAGAAATAGAACAGAAGAATAGAACAGAATAGAATAGAATTCAATGCAATTTAGAATGTCATAGAATAGAAATAAGAATAGAATAGGAATTTAGAATAGAATAGAAATAGAGTAGAATGCAGAATAGAACAGAATAGGAATAGAATAGAACAGAACAGAATTCGATGCAATTTAGAATTTCATAGAATAGAAATAAGAATAGAATGGGAATTTAGAATAGAATAGCAATAGAATAGAAGGCAGAACAGAAATAGAAATAGAAACAAAATAGAATAGAATAAACAGAGTTGGAAGGGACCTTTGGAGGTCTTCTAGTCCAACCCCCTGCTCAGGCCTTTTCTTTCTTTTTTTCCCCCCTCTTCGCCCCACGCCTTTCCCTTCCCTTCTCCCTCACTTCCTTTCCCACTGTTTCCTTTTGCATGTTTGTATGTTTATATATTATAAACCCGTCTTACTCCCTAAATAAAATGAAAGAGCATCAAGGTGGGAAAGGAAGGAATCACCTTCAGTTCCTTCTCCAGGGTGGTAGATCTTCCCAAAGCGGCTGCCACCATCTCCTGGGTGACGGGGAAATTCTCCGGGATATGGGTGCATTTCTGGATTTTGATTGGGTTGATTCCGTTCAGAAACTGGTACCCAAAGAAGGCATCCTCCTTCCAGTGCTTAAACACGAACTCTGTGGAAAGGTACAAGAGAGTGAGTCGAGGATGATGAAGGGTGTGGTATAAAATGGCTTGAGAATATGAAGGAGATCCCAGCCAGAGTTTTATTCATTTATTTTATTTGGTTTGTCAATTGCTTACAAGATAACAGGTATAAGTAAAAACATAGCGATGAACACATGGATAGGTGTAAGAAAAAATAAAAATAAAATATGTGTGT